GGGGGGGGGGGGGGGGGGGGGGGGGGGGGGGGGGAGTGGCCAAGGGTGAACAAGAGAGAGTTTTCTTCAGTTTTAGTCCTGCTGGGGAGGGTGAAAGACCCATCGCCTCCATTCCCCCTCTCCCACCTTCTCTTCGCCAATGGTCATGTCGGAATTTGAATGACGGAAGCAGGAAAATCGATGTAAGATCTACAATCCTCACGACAACATGACCAAATATCTTGGAACAGGAGCTCAAAGATCAGAACTGCTGAAAAAAAAACAGAAAAAGGGCAATTCAACGACGATTACAAGAGTAAAAACAAACAAACAGTACTGAGAGGCCACGATTTGAGTAGCTTCTTTCAAAGAATTCAAGCAAAAAAACCCCGGATACCGGACAGGAAAAGGTGGATGAGAGAGGTAGAGGGAGGTCAGGGGAAGGGAGGGGAGGGACAGGGTGTACTGACCTCATTGATCATTGCTCGGGCTCGATCAACAGCTATTTTGCTGCCTTGCAATGTGCACTGACGCATGTTATTGCCATCCGATTCCGGTGACATCTGAACACGACAATTTGTCTGTGACTGAATTTGCGAAATTTGCTCACCGCCACGTCCAATCACTGGAAACAAATTTACAACATATACTGTCTTCATCTTCGATTTATTCCATTTTATTGCTCTCATTTACATACATACACACACGCACACATACATACACACGCACACACACACATACACACACATGCACACACACACGCACACATACACGCAGTGCACCACCCTCACTATCAACACCGTAATCTCAGTGCAATCCGCTCCATCATAATCTTACATTTCGAGCAATTTGCTTCAGTAATGCTAATCTTTGGTACAGTTTTCTAACTCTTGCACCTTTTTCTCGTGATGTAGTAGGGGTGGCAATGCTCTGTCTGTCACCGAAGTATACGAAGTACAAATGGTAGTAAATTCAAACATGCAGAAAAAAAAAATGCAATAACTTATCCAATTAGGACGTTACGTACTACTAACAGTATGAACAGCGCTTGGTACAATACTGTACAACGTGGATGGAATAAGAAAACCAACGGTAGAGCGGGTCAGTGCGATTATGCGTTTTTGCACTATTTCCTATTGTAGCAAGATCGCAAGTAATCACAGTAGCCGAAATTTGTGGTATATTAACCCCCGAAGTTTAGGAAGTTAATTATGCGGCTATGAAAAGCTAATAAAACTCGGCTTGGCCGTCTCACACACGAGCTGCAAAAAATTTTTTTTCCGGAAGTCAGGCAGGGTTGCCCCACGGCGGATGGAGGTAGTGTGAATGTGGTGCCAGCGTAAGATTTTTACGGCTTTTAAGGTTACGCTTATGCGATTTGTAACGTACCAGGCTAGGCGCTTTTAACAACCCCCTGAGGTCATATAAGCACCTCCTACCTCGGCTACGCCCACATTCTTCCCGTATATAAGGCCAGTTTTTGGGCACAAAACTCAGTCTTCCCGGTCCACTCGGACTGAGTGGCGGAGGCGAGTTGTTTGCCCATTACTCTCAGCCCTCACTACCAGGGGGAGGAGGGGAATGGGAAAATATGATGCTTACGAAGAGAGAGAGGGGAAGAGAAGACATTTGTACATTCACTAACCGCCGCTCCCCCTCCACGCAACCCTACAACCACGGCTGCCCCTCTGCTACCCAGCCTTCCCACCAGCCAGGCCATACAGCCGCTGTGGCCTGGGTAACGTTGCCCTGCTTTCCTAGCAGGCTGCCAAACGATCCCGGTGAACGACGCCACGAAACACTGTTGCTAAAGATGACAGAAAGCTTCCCAAGCACCAACGACCATCAGCCGAGCCGAGTTGTAGTAGTTGCCACGAGGCATGTCATTTGTAGATGTTAGCTTCAGCGACCCGACAACTGGAAAGGAGCTGGTGCACGAAAAAGACCCCGCTAGGAGAGTTGAATTTGAAATCTTTTAGTCGCACATGAGTAGGGAACTTGCCTTTAAAACCCAGCCTTACAGCTTTTCCCAATTTATAAATTTTCTCACAAATTTTTACGTGTTGTATATAAGTCCCAAGCAGGAGCTGAATTTCAAATCTTTTGGTCGTACTTAAGAGACACTGCTCTAAAGTTTTAGCTTCCTAGTTTTTTCATTCCTAAATTAGCACTTTTCCCGCCAAAACTTCCACGTGTCCGTGCCTGAGGCGTAGACGTGCGTGAGAGTTCATGTCACGTTCTTGGGGTCACACTTGACCAGGGGACACACTATCAAAATTTCAGCATCAAAGCTTGCGTGGTTGGCTAGTGGAAATACGTGAACAGACGAACACAAACACACACACACGCACACAACCACACACACAGGGAGGGTCGTCACAAAATGCGTTTCTGCTGTCTGTTGCAGCGCTCTAGCGCTGTGTGGCAAAACCCCTTAAAAATAAACAGCGGATCTCAATACTCTGCACATCTTTTAGTCCGTTTTATGATGACCGTCCGGCAACTGGAAAGAATGGGGCTGCTAAAATATCTCTCTGATGATCAAAGCATGCATCTGTAGGACAAATGCGCCTTTCGATATGCACTTATAACAAACTACGCGTCACTGCTGAGGTACGAATCCACAAACAATCTTTTCCTGAAAATTAGGAAGAGGACAATATGCTTCATCCTAACCAACCGCAGAAAGGGGGGAGGGTAAGGACCGCGAATGGTGTAGGTTCAGGTCTATTCCGATAGCGGGATTCTAGCTTAAGGAATAGAATCATACGAAGTCGGACACACGACATTCAGCATAAAGTCAATAAAGATTAGCACAAGTAGTAGATAAAGGAGCTCCGAGCCGAAGGCGGAAAAATTTGCAAAGTCTCGATTTTCATGATACTTAAGTTCTGACAAAATCCCCGTGAATTAAACGATCCGAAACGATGCTGATATATCTGGAGGAAAGGGCACCATCGGCACCATATGCGGCTACTGCCCAAAAATGCCCGCTGTCTCACCGACAAAGGATTTCCATGTAATTTATTCGCGGCTTGAAAACTTAAGAGACAGGCAGGAATGAGAACACGACATTTGCTCAATAACCACATCCTCAGCCCAGTCACACAATTTAGTTGAACGTTGCAGGGAAACCCCTTGTAAGTCTACCTTTTCGTCGATTTCCACCAAAGGACTTCTGATTCGATAGATCATAACTCCACGCTGAAATCTCTCCTAGAACACGGTGTTGAGAATGTGCATGTGTGAATCATTACGGACCTCCTCAAGAGAATCGTACATCGAAATAAAGCTCTTAAAAAACCAGTGGAGGAAAATGCGACTGTCCGAGAAGGAAAAAGAACACAGTGATCAGAGGAGAGACGAATGCTGGGTGTCCGAAAGCTGGTGTAAAAGACACGCCGGAGGAAATGCTTGCCGAGAAGCTGAGCTGTTTAGGCGGCAGAGATGAAAAATGACGAGAAGTAGCAGATGAACGAAACAAAGAGTCGGATGATGACCACGGTCCGTTAAAAAAGTAGCATAAAAGCCAGTGGCATGCGTCCACTTACTCGAACAAGTATGGGAAGCAGAAGATCAGCAGCTGATGAAAATGCCGATTTGCGTAAACCGAGATCCAGATGTCGAACTGAGACAGCTACTCCCCAAACATCCCAGGTATTTAATCGTTCAAGTGCTTCTTGCCAGTCGGGCATGTCGCTATAGCCAGGCCACTACTACAAGCTTAATTTTGAGCTCTACTTAATTATGTGGTTCTTCTGGGACTTTTTTAAATGGGATGAAATTCGGGAATGGGATGAAAATCTGTCTTGCAGCTTAGACACATGACTATTCAAAACATGGCGGGTAGAAGGCTGTACTGATGATTCCCACCCCTACCCGCATGCACTGTTTGGTCTTTGTACACAGCTGAGGGATGAAGCACAGGCTGTGTCATGTCTTCAAACACATGACATTCAAGTGAAATCCTTCTATTCTTCTATTTCGGTACGCCAGTCCAGCAACGCATGCCAAATAATCGGGCCACTAATACGAGCTTAGTTTCGAGCTCCGCTTAACCCCCATAACTTTGGTAGCCTCAAACTTAAATTCATACAGGGAGCAGAGCGATTTACTGATAACAGTGCTTTCCAGTCACGATTGCAGCACATGACTGTTTATCAAACAATCCGTTGAAAAAAAGAGACCACCAACAGCGACTCGGGCTGTCACTGGTAATTTGATATCATCGCTCGGGTCGCTTCAACTGTCTTCGTCTCCAACAGAAAGCAGAACATAAAGTTTACGACCCTCACGTGATAAGTGGATGTTATATTCTGTCCGAAACAATACATTCGCAACATTGTAAACAATGGTGCGAAGATGCGTTTTTTGCATACTGTCCCGCAGGTTTTTGTCACTAACTGCACCGTTTTTCCGGCGGATGCTTCCAACCACGAGGACTGAGACTGCCCATTAGAACTGGCAAGGATCATCCCCTCAAAATTTCAGCTTTCTAGCTTTTCCGATCCCCTAATTAACAAGTTACCCGCCAAAAATTTTCAATAGCCCGTACGTGAGAAGCACGCACACCGGGGGGCTGGGTTTTGAAACTCATTACAACTTGCGTTAATGGGGAACATTAACGCAAGTTGTAATGAGTTGTAATGAGTTCCCCTACAAATTTCAGCTTTCTAGCTTTTCTGGTTCACGAGTTAGCAGATTACCCGCCAAAAACCCCGATGGGCCGGCCCGTACGTGGGAACCATGTGGGTAAAAGGACCCATCTCAGAGATGGGGGCTTGTACGTGCATGTAAATTGTTTCCAAAGTTTCAGCCCTGCAGCTTTTGTTGGTCTCGAGATGAAAAAAATACATACACACACACACACATACACACATACACACATACACACACACACCCACACACCACTCTCCCCCCTTCCGACAACATGCGTTTTCTGCATTGCATAGTTGCAAAAAACACATAAAAAAGTATAAAAGTCTCGTACCAAGTCCAACACAGTGATCCGGCACCTCCATTGTTTCCATAACCACTTCGTTGACGCCTCCAACGGGCGGCATCCCACCGCCACCCACATGTCCTGGGCCACCAAGAGTTGAGATTTGCATGCTTCCGCCCATGTCCATATTGACCCTTTTGGCCGGATACACTGCAAAAGAAAAAGGAGGAAACATTGAAAAAATTCATCGCTACTGATAACTTCAATTGAATTTTTTTCAAATATTTACT